TATTAGCACTGCACTGCACTGCCATCCCATTGTTCATCCATTTGCTCAAGTGGGCACCAGTAACATCTCCATTGTGAGACTTGTTGCTACTGTTTTTGGCATATCAAATATACCACAGAGAGCTTGCCAGGCTCTGCCGTGCGGGTGGGATACTCTGGGTAGCTTGCCGGGCTCTCCAACAGGGGTGGAGGAATCGAACCCCGGTCAGTCGTGTGCAAGGCAAACGCCCTACCCGCTGTGCTATGGCTCCAGTGCAGATGTACCATGTAAGAGTAAGAAATAAGTGAAAAATACTTTATTGGGTTTCTGTAATTGTCCAATGACTTTCTGATAGTCTAATAATTCCCAATTTTCTATACATTCATATAACAGGACACTCGAGAATTTCAATCATTTGTTTTTATTAAGGCAATGATGACAGCTTGTGACCAAGAAACAAAAATCACTGCAGAATGTGATCAAAAAATGAGTCATTCAGAAACACTTAATTTTGTATTTCTACTCTCGTTTGTGTGTGGGGGGGGGAGGGGGAGGACAAACCCAGAGTTGTTCAGGGAGTTCTTCCGGCCCTGCACTCAACAATCACTTCTGTTGGAGTTCAGGAAACCGTGTGGGATGCCTGGGAATCTGGACTGGCCAGGTGCAAACCAAGTGCCACATCTCCTATGCTACCTCTCTAGTCCCTAAACATATTAAAAAGAATTAAAATCCTAACTGTGACATTCTTTTTTCCACAAAAATCAGCTAAAATTATGAGAATATGGCCCAAAATGTGAAATTTATAATAGAAAATAAAGATGTAACAAAATTAATGTAACATTTACTTAGTGCCAATGCAAAAACTACTTCTAGACTTAGTTGAAAACTGCAATACAAACTTTCTTACGTATTTTGCCTTAAATATCAATAAACTATAATCTGATATTCATCTATTTAAACCAAATGCATTCATCAGATCATGGGAATATTTTATAATAAAAGATAACATGATTTAAAAAAAATAAGTTCATCTATTTCCAGCTTCAATTTGAAATGAAAAACAAATGTTGGTTCAAATATCTAAAGTGGAAATAACAATTCATCATATGCAAATGAATAGCAGCACTTTATCTGAACAAAATTCAGTCAAAATAAGCTCTCCCACAGTTAGTTCCCTGAACTCTGTATTGAACTGTGACTTTTTTGGGTTTTTGTTTGTTTTAGGGGCCACACCCAGCGGTTTTCAGGGTTCACTACTGGCTCTGCACTCAGGGATCATTCCAGGCAGTGCTCAAGGGACCACGTGGGATACCGGGAATCAAACCCAGGTTGGTCACATGCAAGGCAAATGCCCTACCCACTGTGCTTTCTCCAGGTTTCCACTTAGTGGCTTTCTAAACGCAGTCAAATTATGATACCTTTCCTCTCTACCTGGATATTCATCAAAAATATTAACTACCTGCAGTAACTTGAAAAGTGATGCGTTTAAGACAGGCCTCAGGATCCCCAGAGGTCCTGTTCTCCTTCCCATTCATGTCAGGAAACCTCCTGGGACAAAGGTTTCCATAAATCATCCTAGGGCAGTCAAGCTACCACAAGAGGCCTCAGTCACTGGACACCTCCCTTTATCCTGCCCCAGCCCTGTAACATTCCTCACCACTTCCCACTTGCCCACTAATAATTCTTTCATTCCCTCAAGTTTTCCTTCTGGTCTTCTCTTCTGGATCAGTTCTGGCTCTCAAATACTAAGCCAGGAGTGGACTAATCAATAAGCTACTGCTGACAGTATGAACAATGGGGCCAGCGACAGCACAAGGCCCCGAGTTTGATCACCAGCACTTCGGGGTCTCCCCAAAACCAGGGTAGCCTGGCAGCCACAGCACTAGATATATCTGCACAAGACCCAAATATCAACAAGTGGCTAGTGTAGGAGGGTGGCAGAGGCTACATACTGTCCAAGCCACAGACCATAAACAGCCCGTGATTATCACGTGGTCTGGCCCTGGTACATGCCGAGACAGACACATGCGCTCCACGCCAGCTGCCTATGGCCATGTGCCTATATTGTATGGACTGTGAATGACTATAAATATCCAAACAGCCTCAGCAGAAAAAAGGTTCCTCCCCTTACCCCAGAGGTTCATGTGTTTGTGCGCACATACGCAGGTGTATCCACGTGCACATACAGGTAGGCATACACAAACACATGCAGCATTTCTATACATTTCGGTGCTAGAAATAGAACCCATGATCTCTGAACTGTTACATTCCCACCCCCGATGATCTATTACAAATTCACTTGTTTTTAAAAATAAAGTGATTAAACCTATCTCACACAGACAAGATGTACCAAAACACCTATTATAGGTCCAATAAATGTTTACTAACAGATGTTTACTGCACTGCACTGTAGCCCTGCCCTCCCGTTGTTCATCGATTTGCTCAAGCGGGCCCAGTAACGTCTCCATTGTGAGACTTGTTGTTACCGTGTTTGGCATATCGGATACGTCACGGGTAGCTTGCCAGGGTTTGCTGTGCGGGCGAGATACTCTCAGTAGCTTGCCGGGCTCCCCGACAGGGGCGGAGGAATCGAACCTGGCCGACCAGGTTGGCTGCATGCAAGGCAAATGCCCTACCCGCTGTGCTATCACTCCAGCCCAACAGATGTTTACTAATACTCACTTAAGATGAAGCTAAGTGAGACTTTTTAAAATACGAGGCACATAACAGGTGATCAATTTGTCAAAAAACATAAATACAGTATATAAGTGATGATCAAAACTGGGAACCATTTCGTCTACTTCGGTTCACAGAGACCCACTGGACTAGTTCTCAAGTGCCACTGGAATCTAAAGAAGCCAGGCCAGAGTGACAGCCAGCACAGAAGGCAATTTTATCTTGCCTGCAGCTGACCTGGGTTCAATCCCTGGAGCCCCACCAGGAGTAGGCTCTGAGCACCTGAGTGTCACTGGTTGTTGCCCAAAACACAAAACCAAAAAAGAAGGGGGAGAGGGGTTTGGCTAAGCACCTCTCAAAAGCCAGCCCCCAAGGGGTGAATGAGCTTCATCCAGTTAACACCTCTCTCAGGCTAGCATTTTCACAATGCCCAGAATGAGTGCAAAGTGAATTCATGACATTTGCAAATAACATTCTATCTCCTCCTGAAATGCCAAAATGACTGAAATAAACCACAGAAAGAATCTCGCCCTGGGCAGAAAGGCCATAAACATCAAGCCTTCTCTATGGTCCTCAAAAGCAGACACTCTCCAAGTTATTTTAGGTTTCCTCTCCACAGAACATGGCATAGGGGGAGTCCCATCACAGGCATTTAATAAAATGCTACTTTACACAGTGCTAAAAAAATCATCATCTATATGCAAAAAAGATACCTGAGGAAGCTCTAATGAAATTGGGAACTGTAAGATCTCCGCAATCACTGTCTCACCAGTCTGACTCTGGGTTCTTTGTCCGAGATGATCTCGCCTCACCCCTCTACCCTCCTCTGTCTTTCTCCCCGCTACACCATCCCATCCGAGTCCCTTCCTCCAAGTGCCACACCGTTGCTGCCTCTCTTCAAGATCTCCTAACGGGTTCAAGCGTCAACTCCACTATGAAGGCTCCCCAAATTTCACTGCGAAACTGAGCACTTTCTCCTTCCGAGTGTCCACCTCCAAGCAGTCCCAAAGATTTCTACAGACCTGAAAGCACAGCATCTGCTATTACTCACGCCTGTATCTCTGATTCCCCACCAGAAGGTTTTCCTGCGCTGGGGGAAGGGAACGGCGTGTTCCTCATGACTACATACGGGATCCCAGTGCACAGTAGATGCTTCATACACGTTCCCTCACGGAGCCTCTGGATTTCACAGGCCAGAGCAGGCACTGCACCAGGCAAACTGCACAGGCCAGGCTACATTCCCAGTCCTTCCAAAGAGCACTAAGCTAAGCCTTCCAAGTGCTTTAAGGCTGTTGTTTTTTTGTTTTGCTGCTTTGTTTTCTCGCCACTGTTCTTCCCTCCTCTAAAGAAAGGGAAGCCCTTAACAGCACTGTTCCCAGGAGCTGTGATTGCAGATTCAGGAATGGAGACACGGGCCCATGCCAGTGGAAATGCTGGGAGCTCCAGGGTCCTTCTGTTACCCTCACCTCTGGGAGCAGGATGGCGTGGCCAAAAATGGTCAGCATGAGAATGTCTACAGCGGTGATACTGGAGAGAGCACCACTTTATTAGAGTGGAATACTCTCAAATATTGGCATCTCATCTAGGAAGAAACAGCTTGTACTATTTGATACTTTAAAAAAAAAAGCCTTAAAAAAAAAAAAAGGAAAGAAGAAAGACCAACCCAAACTCAACAATGCCCTGGTCATCTTCAACAGGAAATGGTTTTTCAATCAATCCGGTCTCATCCGAGCCACTTCCAGTCATCACCGGTGGCTCAACGTCCTTCTGCTAGACTCCCCCAACCTCCAATGATGGAAAAAAAAAACTGGAAGAGCTCAGGTACCGGGAGGCGTCGAGACACAAACCCAAGCCCTCAAGGAAGCCAAAGCGCTCCGCAGCTGTCATGCACGGGCGCCCAGGCCCGACAACCCAGCTCTGGCTGGATGGGGGTCCCAGGTCCCAGCAGCGGGCAACTGTGAAGCCAACACACGGCCCCTGACCACACACGCCCGCGCGCGTGCACCCACTCACACAACAACACAACACACACACACGTGTGTGTCTGTCCATCTGAACTCCGCCCCTGGAATACCACTGACTCTCGGGCCTCCCCGCACTGTCCCCGGCGAACTCCTAGGAGCCCACCGCCTCCCAGCACCGCGCCCCCCCACCCCCCCCCCCACACACCCCGCCCCGCCCCGCTGCCTTTTCTCCAGCCAACATCTCCAGGTTTCCGGGACCTCTGCAAGAAACCAGAAGTTGCTGCGCAGCGGGGCGCGGGGGCGGGGGCGCCCGACCCTCCGGGAGGCCCCCCGAGCGGGGCGTCCCTGCGGAAGCCCCGTGCGCGGCGGCGGCGCACGTACCCGTCGAAGCGCACGGTGCCGGTCTGCTGCGTCTGCACGCGGTAGTGCTCCAGCAGCAGGCGCACCACCTTGGCGTGGCCGTTGCGGGCGGCGATGATGAGCGGCGTGGAGCGCTGGCCGCCCTGCTGGCTGACGTAGCCCAGCAGGTAGCGGATGTCGCTCTCGGAGCGGTTGAGCAGCAGCGCGGCCAGGGTCAGCACCTTGCCCTCGCTGGCCGCCTTGTACACGTAGCCCGCCAGGCCCTCCATGGCGGCCGCCAGCTCCGAGCCCCGCTGGGTCGCCACCGCGGCTGCCGCCTGGCGCCCCCGGAGGCCGCGTCCGCCAGCGCCGCCGCCGAGCGGGGCGCCCCCAGCCCATCCACGGGCCAGCGCCCGGCCGGCGGGGACAGGCCGCGGGCGCTCAGGGCCGCGCCCCGGGCCGCAGGCGCCGGCCGAGGGCCGGGCGGATCTCCATGGCGGCCGCGCCGCGGGCCTCGGGCCGGACCGTCCTCCCCGCGCCCCGCTCGGGCGCCCGCGGGCCCCCGCCGGCCGCTCCGGCCCGGCCCGCCGCCGCGCTCCGGGCTGGCCCCGCCTCGGCGCCGCTCGCTTGCAAGGAGCCCGCAGGGGGCTCGGGCCGCGGTGCTCGGCGGCGCCCGGCGCGCTCCGGAGCTCCACGGCCGGGAGGGGCCGGCGCGGCACGGACGCTCGGCAGCGGCACCGGAAGTCGGGCTGGCCGGAAGGCGCGGCCCGCGGCGCCGCCGGCGCGGAGGGGGCGGAGCCAGCGGGGCGGGCGGTTGGGCGGTGTCGCGCCCAAAGCCGGCCGGCCGGCGCGCCGGGACCCGGGCGCGGGAAGGTTCCGGCGCCGGCTCGCCCCGCACCCCCACCCCTCCCCGGCTGAGGCCTGGGCGTCCTCATCGCCCTTGGTGCCGCGACCCTTCTCCGCGGCCCTCCGCGCTCCTGGGGCTCCGAAGCCGGGAAAGGAGGCTACAGTGAGCGCGCTGAGCCCGGAGCTCAGATAAACTCAGAACCATCTTTTTTTTTTCTTTTTTTGGGGGGTCACACCCAGCGATGCACAGGGGTTACTCCTGGCTCTGCACTCAGGAATCACCCCGGGCGGTGCTCAGGGGACCATATGGGATGCTGGGGATCGAACCCGGGTTGGCTGCGTGCAAGGCAAACGCCCTGCCCGCTGTGCTATTGTACACCAGCCCAGGACTCTCCCATCTTAACACCTGCGGGGACGCTTCTCTGACCCTGGCCCCGGGAACGGGGGCATCTCGGAGCCCCAGAGATGTGGGGGGCACCGGCCTGAGGCCAAGGAAGGTGTGCAGGGCCTGCCTGTCCTGGCAGAGGGGTGTCAGCAGCAGGAGAAGGGGAGAAAGGGTCTGGGCAGGCTCAGACCTCACTTGAGCCTGGCAGAAACCTCTGCTTTCTCCCCGACCCCTTATGACTATTGTGTGTAAAAAGATCATGCAGCCAAGGAAAACTAGAAATCGGCGCCGCACCCGCCTCTGCTGGCACCGGGGACTCGGGTTCAGAGCAGGGACAGTCAAGTGCCTTGCTCATGTCTGGGGTTTGTGCCGTGCAAACGGACGCTGACCAGCCGCACAGACGGGCCTGCTGGGGCGAGCCGTGTCCCCGTTTGCTAGGGAGAAAATAAAGTGATGGTGGTGTTGGTGGAAGTACCCTGTAATTTGGGGTGCCCAGAACTGACAGATAACAAGAACAGAGGGGAAGAGCTACCAGGGAAACTGGAGGGAACAAAGGTCAGCCTGGGGCCCTAGAGATAGCACAGGGCAGGGTGCTTGCCTTGCACTCAGTCAACCCGGGTTCCATCCCCAGCAAACCAAGCCCCGCCCATAATGATACCTGAGCACCGAGCCTGGAAGAGGTCCTGAGCATTACCGGGTGTGGTCCCAAAACAGACAAGAAAAGGACAGCACAGCAGCCACCCTGGGGAGGATGACAGCAGATGATATCAGCAGGTCACATTAGGGCAGTGTCAAGTGTGCAAGTTGGTTTTTGTTTGGTTGGTTGTTTTATTTGGAGCTACACCCGGCTCCACGCCTGGCTGACTCCGGGCTCTGGGGATCATTTCTGACTGTGCTCAGTGGTGCTGGAGAACGACTTAAAGCATCTTACCCCTGCGCTTTCTCTCCCACTCAAGTGTCAGGTTCTGCTAAATGGGTTGGGGACATTTAAAGAGTTTTGAACGGGGGGCAAGACATAATCTGTGCTTTTAACAACATGACTCGCCTGCTGTTTGGAGGATAAACTCAGAGCCATGAGTAGATGTGAACAGAACTCGAGGGTTGGTTGAGACAAAGGTGGACACCTGCTGCAGTCACTGGAGCACAGACTGTGAAGAAAAGGGGGCTTTCGAGCGTGGAGCTTACCTCCCTACCATGCAGTTATCTGCAATGAAGACAAACCTATTTATTTGGTTCCAAGGGACCAGGCTGGTTCTCACTGAGTTCACACCAACTACATGGTGGAAGTACAATGGTGGAAACCCACCATCCGGATCCTAGAACATTTCCCATCAATTACAGAGCTACTGGTAGGGGTTTGGGTCATCCTTAAATTTTTTCCTCCATTCTCTAGCAACATCTTATTTGCAGAACCCTAAACTCACACTCTCTCCCTTTCTCTCTCCCTCTCCCTCCCTCCCTCTCTTTCTCTCTCTTCCCCCTCCCTCTCCCTCCTCTCTCTGTACTCTCTATCTCTCTCTCTTACTTTCTTGTTCTCACTCTTTTTTTTTTTATTTTGGACTACACTCAGCAGTGCTCGGGGCTTACTCCTGGCTCTGCACTCAAGGATCTTCCTGGCAGGCTCGGGGAGCCACACAGGCTACCCGGGAACTCGGGTGAGCTACATGCTGGGCAAGTGCCCTGCCACTGTACTATTGCTCCAATGCATGCGCTCTCTTTCTCTCTCTCTCTCTCTCTCTCTTTCTCTCTCTCCCCCCTCTCTCCCCTCTCCCCCCACCAACTTAAAAACAACATATTAAAAACAACACTGGAGGTGAAAGAGTGAGGGCTGAAGAGGAACTCAGTAGTCTGAAATAGTTGGTGGGAAGGAAGCCAGTTGGTTTCATCCTGGGGTTCAGACTTGGCCTCCAGGGAAAACAGGGGTTAGGAGGACTGGTCAGTGGTTGCAACTAACCACAGTGTGTGTGGGACTGAGGGTATGTAAGATAGAGAAGAGCCAGCATGACAATAATAGCTGGAATGATCATGCCTGACAAGACCTGAGGGTTAAAAGAAGGCAGAGGGATTTTCTTATCATGAACAGCTTTGTAAGGGTCTGTCTCACAAATTCAATAAATAAGTTTAAAAAAAAAACAGGCTTTTGGTCCTCTGGTGACTTGACAGTGACACATGCAGATAGGGGACTTGCTTCCAACTGATTTCCTTCCTCATGTTCTACACACACACACACACACACACACACACACACACACACACACACACACACACACACACCTGCCTTTTTCTCCTTTGCAGCAGTGTCCTGGAGGATCCTGTCTGGACACCAGCCCCTCTTCCCTGCAGTTGTTTCTTGCAGGGAACCAGATTCATAACTGCAGATTAACAGGCTTCCTTCTCCCTGCTTCCAGCCTCAAGAGATGAATTGGGGCTCTTCCTGAGGGTGCCAGGAAGCACCTGCTTAGAGAGGTGACTCTAAGGGGAACCTGACTTGCCTCATGGACTCCTACCATGGTGGGCACCAGGGCAGGCGAGGGACCAGGCTGCTGTCTTTGGTTATTATCACCTAAATCCAGATTCCCTTGGTTGGTCAGTAATTGCCTGACTGGAGACTCTTCTGCCTCTGTTTACCTGGGGTGGGGGTGTGACCTTTCTGTGGTCAGATTGTGCAAACCTAGAGAGAAGTTGCGTAAACAGGACACGACTATGTTTTCTCCGAAGTCAGAGTGCAAAAACAGGCTTGTATCTCCTTCTGATCTCTGCTGATTTTCCCTACCCTTGGACAGGAAATGAGCCCTAGAAAGAACTGCAAGTCGTCGCAACTTGTACATGTGTGTGAGTGAGTGTGTGTTTGTGTGTGATGGAGACACTTGCTGGTGACCACAGATTGCAATCTGGCATCTGGACAAATGAACTAACGTCTGAGCATTTTGCTTCCTGGAGCTTGGGAGGTGGTTTCTGAGAAGAATTAGCTCTTGTTTCCTTGGACTATTGCTGTTACCAAACTGAGACATTCCAGCCTTACAAGTTGACCTGCTTCAGTAGACTTTTCATGGTACACATTGTATATAAAGTGGTGCAAAATGTCATCTTTCTTTCTTTTTCATTGGAACATAGTCGATTACGAAGTTACAACATTATTCATGATTGGCCTTAAGTTATACAATGTTCCAACACCCTATCCCTTCACCAGTGTCCACTTCCCTACACAATGAACCCAATTTTTCCTCTCTCCCCAGCATGGCCTCTCTGGGTTTGGTTGCGTTTTAGGGACACACCCAGCCAAGTTCAGGACTTAACTCCTGGCTCGGCGCTCAAGAATCACTTCTGATGATTTCGGGTGAACATGTGGAGTGCCAGGATTAAACCTGGGTTGACCATATACAAGGTGAGTACCCTACCCACCAGTCCTCGCTTGCCTCTACATAGGGAGGACAGGTTTTTCTTTCTCTTTTTTCTCTTTAGGCACTGTGGTTTGCAATACTGTTACTGAGAGGGCGTCAGATATATCACCTTACCTCTTTTCAGCACACAGTTCTCCCTCACTTCCCTCTATCATTTTCAGAGTCGTTCATTGACTTGAAAAATGTCAATTTTCTTTTTTTTTATTAAAAAAATTTTTAATAGTGAGACATCATGAGGTACAGTTGCAGACTTACACGTTTTTGTGCTTGGGTTTCAATTATACAATGACCAAATACCCATCCCTCCACCAGTACCCATTTCCCACCACCACAGGTCCCAGTATCCCTCCCACCCCCCCAACTCCCCCATCCCACCCTGCCTCTGTGGCAGGGCATTCTCTTTTGTTCTCTCTCTCTTATTGGGTGTTGTGGTTTGCAGAAGAGGCAATGAGTGACAATCATGTTTGGTCTATAGTCTACTTTCCGCATGCTTCTCCCATCCTGGGAGGATCCTCCCAACACCTTTATTTGGTGCTCCCCTCTTTATCTGAGCTCCCTTTTCCCCCAGCATGTGTGGTTCGCCTCCAAGCCATCGAGTAAAATTCCTGGTGAAAAATGTCAATTTTCAAGTACCAGTGAACAGACTTGTGTGAGTTCTCTAAGTACGCTGGTACTGACTCTCGGTGATGCACAGATC